TTTTGTTGAATGAGAATTTCACTCGTAAGTTATATGGGACTGGTTAATTAAGAAATGCTGCTCGGTCTGTGTAGGGTGATATTTATTTTTATTTTCTTTACTTTACTCATTTTTATTTAAATATAAATTGATGTCTCGGCATCGTTGCAAATATTTTAACTCAACTATTCGTCAGAAGTCTTATTCACCGTAATATTCTCCGTTGTAAACTGAGTGGGAAAAAAGCATGGCGCTATTTCTGTTTCAGTTTTTAACTCAAGAAAAATTTCTGAGTAGTTAGTGGTAGTTCTGGTAGTAGCTTTTATTTATTTATTTTTTTTTTTTTTTTTAAATTTATACACCTTCAAAAGAACAACACATACCGACTCGGGTACAACTTAAAAAAATAATATTAAAATTCCTGTTGTTGTATCATCACACAACGTTGATAATACATTTTTATTTTAGGCCTGTGAACCCAGCTTGGACCTTAACACAAAGTCACAAGTTGGATGTTTAGGTCGAAGATGAATCTAGAAAATTTCTGGGTCCCGCTTTGAACTTTGCAAATATATAATTTAAATGCTTTCTCTGAACTTGCGGCCCTGAAAGATAACGGCCTAAAAAAAAAAAATAAGGAAGTAAAAGAAAAATTAATTTTAAATAAACTTCTGCATATTTAAAACATTGGTACATTTTTTCATAAGTTATTAAATCGCTATTGTATACGAAAAAATGTAAACATCAAATATAAAATTTAGTTTTTGTTTTGGAAATCATTTTTGAAGTCTGTTAGTAAACCTAAAGAAAGATTAAATAACAGGATTTTCTAAAAGTAGTAGTGTTTACCTTTTACTTAACAATGAAAATAATATTTTATTTATGCAAGGTAGCCTAGGTCAACGGACAACTAGACTGTATGCTACCACCTCTGTCCAGAAAAGTGCGCTAAAAAGTATAAACAAAACCAAAAGACCAGTAGTGCAATAATCAAGAATTTGTTATTTATGTCTAAAAATAAATTTTAAGAATGTATTTTTTGTTCTATTAACTTTTATTAAACTTAGTATATTGAATAAATTCGTGCGTGATTAGGTAACCTAACTTTTTCGCTAAAATCGATCCTACCACGATGAAAAAAAAGCCCCAGATTTGATAAAAACAAAGTTTTATTATCAAAATATTAGTTATTATGAAGAGGAAAGACCAAATTATTTTTTTATCAACTTTTTCAATCCTTTCTTGCACTTTCGAAATTTTGTTTAATTTATTTATTTTTTTTTATCAGCAGTTTGATTTGGAAATTATTGCAAAACTAAATAATTGTCAGATTTCAAGGCATTTTTATGTTTATACATTCTTTTTATAGATACAAATATGAAAATTTCTCAGATATTCAGGTGGGTAAATGTTATTAGTACTGTTTATTATAAAACGGAGCATTTACTTAAATATTTGTATCTATAAAAAGAATGTATAAACATAAAAATGTCTTAAAATAATTGTCGGACTTTGTCCATTTCATTATATATATATATATATATATATATATATATATAGTAATTTTTCAAAGACAATACTTTATAACGAACAGATCCGATGACTGGTCTTGGTGTAAAAATATTAGACACTTAGTGAGAATTAGCATCATTAATAAGACAAGCTTAGAGCCTTGATTGTTTTTATTTATTTATTTTTTCAGTTACTTTTTTAAACAAGAGAAAACAAAAATGAGCTCAACGAGAAGGAAACGGACAATTACAGAGACTGATGATAGTAAGTATCTATTCTATAAATCTTCAAAATTTCACATTGTGTGCAATTGATAGTTGATTCTGAAAACCACTAAAACCTTAATGATAAATTATACCAGTAAGCTATAAATGTGCTACTGTTAAATATTTTTATGAACCACTACCTGCATTTAATGGGAAAGATGTTGAAATTTACTGTAATGCAATAATATTGGTTAAACATTCAATCTATGACAGTTGATTAATAAAGTTTCCGTTAATTTTGAATAAAGTTTTAGACTAGATAGAAGGAGGAAACTAGTATTAAAATAAAAGAATTTCTTTTTTCAAAATATGCGAGGTAATCCAATAAAGCAAGAATAGAATAATAAAACTAGTATTAAAATGGAAGAAAATTAATCCTCCTTAAAAATTGCAGGAATTGATTGGTGACTAAGGTCACCAAACTTAAAATACAAATAGAGATAGAATAATAAAATTGTTATCAAAAGGAAATAAATTTCTTTTCAAAATTATAAGGGTTGATTTATGAGTAAGGATTCCAGTTTTATAAAACAGCTTTTAAACTGGATATGTTATGAAAATAGGACTTTCCTCATTGACATCCGCGCCATTATTTAGATATTGTCACTTTTAGGCAATATTTATTGTTTTAAAAAGTAATGATTAGAATTGTAATAAAATCTAAACATGTGATGAAAGTGAATTTATACATTTTTTTGTTCTCGAGGATAAAAATAGTAAACACTATTATTTATTAGATTGTTTATTGGAATGGTTGGCAAATAATATATAAAATAATTGCCAATTGATTCAAACTTTATAAAGTGGTAAATAATATGGATTTCCTTATAGTTGGTTCACATATTTTAATAATTTAGTAAATATGAATAGAAAAAATTGTTTTCATATATATTTCTTTATAAATTGATAAATGATAATATTGCATTAGTTTTAATTTTTAGAATGCTGTAAATATAAAATTATTCTTATAAATAAAAAAAATAAAGTTAAAAGAAGGCTAAACATAGATGCAGATATTGATGTTAGCATATTTTCAAACCTGACATTTGTAAATAACTAATTGACTTAGCCTAAGGCCAATAACTCTGTAAAAATCGGGAATATATTTGGCAACGTATTGATATTATAAACATTAACCCCATTCTAAATCGATAAATCATTTTTCAGTTTTCTAAAAGTGTTGGAGCAATTTTGTCACTAACGCATTTGAATTAAAAGACCCAAATTTAGTGGGCTGGTCAGTGGGGGGAATGTTGTCTTTCCATCCTATTTGGAGATAATTCTCTGTTGCTGATGGAGAAGTGCAAAGAGATATGTAAAGATTCTTTTGAAAAGGACCCACATCTGCTATGGTTTCAGAAGCAGATGACTAAGAAATGGGAGCTGACGGGCAGCCTTCATTGCTGAATCAAAGTACAGAAAATAATAATGAAAAAGGTGGTTGAATAATTTGTTTTCTGCCAGATCCTTTCTTACAGTTACACCTCTTGTTTCCCTGACCATCTGCAGGCAATGTAGAACACTCTAACCAAATCTTTGTTTTTGAAGCCAGACAATAAAATTTATTAACTTTTTCAGAATAGTTTTAAAATGCATGAAAATTTGGATGGAAATTAAATGAATCATGACTTTTTTGTACATTGAGGATATGCACAGATTCTTTTGAAATTGATGAAATGTTTGAAACTTTAATATGTTTAAAAAAAAAAAAAAATCATGCTTAAAAATGCTTTGTGTGTTTATTTATAGCATAAAAATTTAAGACTTTATTTAGGTTTGTGCATTATAATGAAATTACTATCTACCTTTTAAATAACACTGTCTCCAAAATAGGATAGCAGTTATTGATAGGTTATAGGTAAAAATAATATTGAGTCATTCTGTGTCACATCAACAAGGGTCTGACCATCACCGACACACTTTTTTCAAATTTGGTACACTTATTGTTTCACGATACGAATTGAATGGTGCCTATTTTGCATCTCTGGGTCAAAGGGTTCCTGAGATATGACCCTTTGCCAAAAAGGTGAATGTAGAATATTGGTTAATTTGCAAGTGATCTTACACACAGGTAGACTGGCATAGTCATCTCAACTTGCAAAAACAGCACTGAGTGATTTAATGGAGAGATATATGGGTGAATGGAGTCCACTCATGCAAATGTGTTGGTCATGTCCATTCTAGTAAAGTGGACTAACCCACCTGAAGTATTAGGTACTCTCCTATAAATGAGGTAGATTAGTATTTTTTTTTTTTTTAAAGGTCAAATAAAGTAATTTAATTGTGACCATAACATTTGACCTTTAATTTCTCAGAAAGCGTATCTTTAATTTTTTTAAAAAATCTGACTACAAATTTGTCTGCCTTATGGCAAGATATGTACAAAATTTTGTGGTGGACTTTGACTGTAGCCTGACTTAGAAGGGCCAAATTCAAAATGGTGGATTTGGCTAATATATCCGGCACTTAGGTGACAACCAAATGTGCACAATATAGTGATAGCTTTATGGCAAATCTATGACAAAGTGGAAATAAAATTTTGTGCGACACATTTCATCCTTTAGGATTCTATCAAACCAAAAATGATTTGATGTGATTACACATGCATTAAGGAGAGGGGATGCTGAAATTAAAATGTTTTTTTTGTTTTTTTTTTTTTTTTATAGTCTAGCCCAGGTTCAAAATTTAGGTATATTCACTGGATCACAAAAGTACTTTATATAAATATAGTTAAAAAAAAAAATCCAAAGCATGAATATCAAATTTTAATAAGAGACACACACACACACACACACACACAATAGATTCAATGTGATTTTTGATAATGCTTCCCTCTTATAAGATTGTCAATATTTGCTTTTATGGAACTAGTCTTTATTCTAAGAATGGGAATCACTAAACCTGTAAAAAAAAAACAAAAAACAATCAAAAGGCAACAAATTACACAGTACTTATTTCGATTAACCCTGTTACTTAGAATGATTACTTCGCTACTCATGTAAATGTTAAGTCTTAGTTGTCAATAGTATAAGTGACAGATGACTATAAAAAAAAAAAAAAAAAAGTACCATTTGTCATTTAAATGATGCACTGACTATTGTTTGCGTCACATGGCAATAATTATAAGTAAAATGATGCACTAAAAACCAAGTAATCGTTTTAAGTTCTGAATATTCATGCCTTTACAAAATTTCTGTCCAAGAAACTATGCTCAAAACTATCAAAATATCTTTTTTTCAACTTGACAGTTTCTGATGATTTTATTTTGTGGATTTCTATATTTCTCTGAATGACATGTCAACTCATTGCTAATAAATGATGTGAATGCTTAAAAATTGAACAAAATGGTCTCTTTTCTCCATTTAAAAAAAATTGTGCTCTTTTTTTCCTTTTGCAGCTAATGTAATGCCCCTAAAGAAAAAGCCATTAAAACCAGAGGAAATTAGTGATCATGAAGATGAATTTTCTCAAACTTCTGTTTTATTTGAGATTGAAAATGTTACTTGTAAGTTTTGTTTTTTACTATTTCTTCATTTTGCTGTGATTAAACGTGTGATTTTGTATCTTTTCTAGCACTACTTAAATACACTGGTTCATTCAAAAAAAAAAAAAAAATTCCAGTCGATAATTTTTTAGATTAGCATTTGTTATGCCTTCCTCAAGTCATGATATTTCTCAGAATTAAAATAATATTGATTTCTTTTTTGTTTCTTTTTTAGATTATTGATTTAGAGCTGTTCATAATGACACTGTATCAAATCTGTCTCTGACTTTTACTGAGTTTCCTGCACTTTTTTTTTTTAATAATTTGTTTTATTTAGAAATGTTGTCTTGAAAATGTTATATCATTGATATCTGCATATTTTTTTATATTGTGAATTATGTAAATTTTTGTCCCTTAATTAAAAATGTGATACTATTTAAAAAATGTATACATGTCTTTTAATGGCAAAAAATATTTTGGTTAATTTAAGTATAACATCCATACTCAGTTCGCATTAAAAATTTCCAGAATACTTACATTTATGTATAATTGGATTTTATCGAATTTATCAAAAGCCAAATTCAAATGGAGCATCTAAAATTACACATAAATGTAAGTATTCTGGAAATTTTTAATGCGAACTAATCGTGGGTATTATACTGTAAATTAACCAATCTTTTTAAGAAAAGTTGAAAAAAAGGTTTTGACAAACAATTGCTTGTTTAAAATATTTTCTTAATTAAACACCTAAAAATGTATATGTTCTTTTATAAAATAAAAAAAAGTTTGTTTTCATGTGCAGATATCAATGACATGAACTTCAAACTTGATATAACAGTAACCATTCAGTAACTGTAAAAAGTCAGGAATTGATATGAGGCTAGGACCCCACCCCCCAACCTCTAAAATGATTTAAAAAAAAAAAAAATCAATATTTTTCAATTCTGATGAATGTCTACTGAATGCTAATCTAAAAATAAAAATATTTCTACAAAAGTTTTCCTTATTTGGGACCCAGTTTAAGTAGTGCAACTGTTTCCTTGTTTTTTTTTTGTAACTTGACAGAACTGACTCTTATAATGTTTTATTTGCATTTGGACTAATGTCCTCATCTTTGTTGTTTTTATCAAGACATTTTGTTTGTTGTGCCTTCAGGTATTCGGCAATCCCGGTAACCTTCAGGGAATTTTGGAATGAAACCTTCATTTAATATACAAGGGTAGATTGTTCTCATTCCACTGACCACATCTAGTGATATCTTGTTCATATTTAGTATAGCACTACCCAGCTCGGATTTGGACTCATTTTTATTACTATGCTGCCAATGCTTTAATGTATTAGTCTATTGTCCCATTGTAGCTGAGATGATTAAAGCATTGGTTTGTGGAATTGGTGGCATAGTAATTCTGTGGGAGTTCAATCCCTGGGCAAGGTAGTATAGTACTGAAAATATATCCCCAGACATGGACAGTGAAATGAGAACAATATATAAAAATTAGAGATTGAATAAAGTGTTGAAATTTCATGAGCTTTGCCCAAATCAACAGGCTTCTGAAGAAATCCAGAGGGTGCAGTGGCCAAAACATTGTGATAGCAACAAAGATGAGGATATTAGTCCAACTGTAAATAATGATTATGCTGAAGAAATTTAGACAGAAATTGTCATTCCATTTGCTAAGTGAAATTGTTGTTGTGTTGAATTGAAAATTGTTGTAGCTTCTAGTGGTTTCAATGGTGGTGGCAGTTGTATCACAAAGCAATGGAGCTACTTTCTGTCAGGAGTTCTGGGATGATCAGTTAGCATTATTTACATGCGTATTATTGTACTTGTCCTTGTTATCCCAACATTTCAGCCATTGTACTCTCCAAGCCTTCATCATGTGCTTATTAGATTCGGGGAATTTCAAACTAAACCTTTCATTTAATCTACTGGGGTAAACTGTTATCATTCTTATTGCTCAGTTATTGTTTTCCAGGGATTTAACTTGGAATTAATGTCATTAAATTTACAAATATATAGTTTAATCCACTAGGCTATTGTCCTGGGGGACAATCCTGGGTGGATCATTTGGAGCCTAATCTGCCTGCTGATAAGACTGGTACTTGTCATGCATTGACCGGTTTCTCTTTCCTGCTACTGCCTTGCTGTTATTTCTCTTTCTTTATTAATGGCTTCCACATTGTATTTATTTCTATACTAGGCCTACTAAGGAGCTCCTCATAGTCTAGCACATGTGCTTATTCTTTCAGGTATCTAAATCTCCAGTGTTCTGTCTAGTATTTTTACTTCATTCTGCAGACTACCTAATTCCCTCATTATATGATCAGTTATGCCTGATTTCATTGAAGCTACTTATTAGTGTCTCTGGTTAGTCATAGGGACATGTGCTTTCTAAAATAAATATGTCACTTAAGAGTTGGTCGGTTTGGCAATTTATGTTTCTGATTCGTTTTTTTGGTTTTTAATTTAGTATTTTTGCTTTCTAAGGAAGCTATTCATTTTCTTGTGTAATACTAGCATTTCCAGTCAATATCTGATTTTGTATGAGATTGATAAACTTAGTCCATTCAACTCACAATTTCTTGTGTATTTCTGGTCCAATCTTAAAAATATTCATATGGCTGGAAAGAAAACAAAATCTTTCTAAAAATGTAATTTGTATGTGATTTTATTCATTGGATTTTTTTTTACAGCAAGTTAAAATGGTATTTTGCTTTGAACTGAGGAAAATGCAAAATCTGATTTTATTTATTTATTTATTTATTTATTTATTTTTTTTTTGAGACTAAATTTTGCACATTACTTGGTTTTGCAAAATCAAAGTGTCCCATCTTTATATGAAATTGTCCAGGAAGATGTTCATTTCTTCTCTGACCTATCAAATCGAATTCCTTCAAAAATTATAAGGTAAGCAAAAAAAAAAAAAAAAAAAATAGAAGCAACTGATAGAAAGAAATGTGTAGTAAAAGAACTTTCAGATTATTGAAACTACTGTCTGAGACTAATAGACACTTGTTTCCAAGCAATTAATTATTTTATTTAGAGGCAAAAAACTATTAATCATTTTAATATATAATCTTAAGTGTATTCACTAGATAAAACCATAGATATTTGTAAAAATAGAATGAATTAATTTTCCTTATTTAGAAGAATTTTATAGGCAGAACACCCTCTGGCTAAAAAATAATTTTTACTTTGGGTTTTTAAAAAATGATTGCAGTTTTGAAAATAAACACATTTTAAAACTGAAATTAAAACTTTATTTTTTTTTAATATTTAATTTTAGGTGTATTTGCTAGATAGAAACAATTTTATTTGTAGAAAACAATTTTATACTAGAGACTCACATACCTAGAAATATACACATTTTAAAAGTGAAATTAAGAACTATTTTAATTATTCTTATCTAATTTAGGTGCATTGCCAAGAGAAAGAAACAAATTTATTTATAAAAAAATCTTCATTCATTTTTCTTGTTTACAACAACTTTATTTCATGATTGGTGTACTGGCTTATTAGAAAACAATTACTCTTACAAAAAAAAACCGACTTCATAAAATTTAACATTAAGATGAAACTGGCTACTATTGTTTTTATTTTCCCTTGCTATTTTGTTAACACAAAAAGATTTTTTTTTTTTAACTGAAACAAATACATTTCAGAAATGTATTTTATTTTCCATTTTTTCTGTTTGAAAACATAATTTCCAAGTGTCATATCTGCTATATTTCTTTTTTTCCTCATTTCTTTTTTTCCTCATTTCTTTTGTAAACAAATACATTTCACATTTATTTCCTAAAACTAGTCAATTAAATGTTTTTAACATATTTTTGATCAATCTTTTTCTCTTACAATGGTATAAATGCTGATAGAATTTAATTTTATTAACATCTGAAAGTCTTTTTCAATAGTTTTTCTTTGGATATATAGTCACTCAGTAGTGATAGCACTAAACTGTATGATTTTGGTTTCGTAAAAAATTTCGATGTGGTTTCACGGTGTGAAGATGAAACCGAAAAAAGTCAGTTTTTCAGTTAAACTGCCCATCTCTACTTCTGGAATCAAGTAGGATGATTTACTATATTTAACAGTTTAAAAAATGCACAAGCAGATTAGATGAAACCACATTTCAGCTAGATATTCAGGAATTAAGTGTTTGCTGTATTGTTAGATGGTACATTAAAATCTTAGTGGAACTTTGACCATGTTAACCATAACGCACAGTTCAAAATTTCCTTTTGGCCATTTTATTTTACAAATGTCATTATGGCAAATACACTAAGTCGAATTATATTAAAATGATTAAAATAGTTTTTAATTTCATTTTTAAAATGTGTATCTAAAAAATAACAAGTGATACTCACAGATTTGGAATTCTACACATTCTAAAAATGAAATTAAAAGCTTTTAATTATTTTTAATATTTAATTTTAGGTGTATTTGCTAAATAAAAACAAATTTATTTAGGGGAAAAAATAACTCATTGATTTTCCTTCTTTAGAAGAAATTTATTTGCAAAAGCCCAATAACAGTTGACTGGTGTACCAGGAAAGAATTGCCATATTTTTAATTATTTTAAACCTGAGGGCTTTGGGTTTTTTTTGTTTTTTTTTAGCTTTTTAAAAGCCACATCATAAACTAATTTCTGGAGAGCTATACCATTTTCTCTCTCAAAAATGTGTTGTCCAAAGACACAAATATAGATATTTTATGTGATGATTTCTTTTGTATTTTACCAATTTTTTAATAGATATAGTAGTTATTTATAGTTGAGAATTTATTTGGAAGTTTAATAAACTTTAATCTAAGTCATGAATTCTATGACTAAATTACCTTTAAAGCCTAAAAACTGATGAACAATCCATAAATTTATTAGCCGCCCCAATTTGTGGTTTTTGGGTTTTCAATTCCAGTGGAATTTAACGCATGTCTATAAATTTTTATTACCCTTGCTTTAAAACCAAATATTGACAAAAAAGAACATCTTCCTGTTTGTAGGTTAAGGTGTCTTCTGAGTGTGCAATTTCAAGAATATTGATAAAGATTTGTCACTGACTTTGCAAAACAAAGTAATGTGTAAAATTTAGTCTCATAAAAAAAAAAAAAATCATATTTCACATTTTCGGCTGTTCAAAGCAAAATACCGTTTTAACTTGCTGTAAAAAAATAATTTAATGAATAAAATCACATACAAATTACATATTTAGAAAGATTATTTTCTTTTCTTTCCAGCCATATGAATATTTTTAACTGTTACCACGCTTTTTTTCTAGAGTTGTCTCCCCTAACGCTACATTTTTTTTTCTTTTTTTGACGGTGCAAAAATATGAACATCTACTGTTTTAAAATTGTTATAACTTTCTTTGTATTGTGCGTATAGATTTTAATTTTTGTACACTAATAAAAAAAAAAAATGAATGTGTAATATTTTGATGTAATACATTACGTTTTGCATGCATATTTTGACATTCGAAAACAAAAAATGTGAAACGCAAAATAAAAAACAAATACATTAAAAAAATGCATAAATAATTTAATGTACCTTATTGATTCATTGATTACTCATTGTGGAGCTCTGGGGTGCAATAAGAAACAAAATCGCTAAGAAGGCATTCATTTCGTCAAAAAAGTGACGTGTTTCCTCATGTTTAGAATTCAAAATGGCATTGGAAGTTTAGCCTTGTTCCAAAGCAATAGTAGGCAATTTCCAGCTTAAAATACCGGAAAAAAACAATTGACAGGTATTTATTTATAGTAACTATCTCAAAGCGACAGAATATGCCTAGAGTAGCAAAGGGAGATAATTCTACCTCGTCTATTGTCGTTTGTGTAAAGGTTAAAATTGGACTAGAAATACATGAGAAATTGCGAGTTGAACAGACTAAGTTGCAAATTTATCGATCTCAAACGAAATCAGATATCAACTGGGAATGCTATCATTACACAATAAAATGAATGGCTTCCTTAGAAAGCAAAAATACTAAATTAAAAACCAAAAAACTGAATCGAAAATCATGGTATTAAGAGGGGGGGGGAAAAAAGGAAACCGATACCAAAACATGAATTGTCAAACCGACCAACTCTACCCAGAAGTATTTTTATGTACTACTAGTTTACTATTCATTTTACTTGCAAATACATCTCACTAACGGCATTGTTTTGCACATTAGAAATAAAAAAAATTATAAACATCTGTAACAGTTTGCTTAATTATTTTTAATAGTAATAAGGCCATCTTAGACTAGAGTGGCAAGTTCTCCATGATACAGAAAATGTGATTTCTGCTACTAGAAAGTAAAATATTCCAACGGTAAAACAAAATTTCTCATCAGGTTCTTGACAGACGCATTATTTTCCATTTCACAGTGAACTTAATCACTTATGTGCAAGTGCTACAACCTATATTTCTGCAACATGTTGTTTTATAAATAACATGGGGTATTTTCCACTACTGCACAAGCGCCATAACCTAATTCATGATATTAATCTAGCCAAACCAGACACTACTGGTCGCTGCAGGGTAAATATCCATGTGTGATATTATCATGTGAATAGTGTGGCAGGTGCCATCAAGGGTAGTAAAAATAAAGTTATTGTTTGTCTAGTAATTAAATTACATTTTTAAATGCAAGTTTGATTATCTTTCACGATAAGTAAACGAAAAGCTAGCAAACTTGGTGGGTGCACACTTTCGGCAGAATACAAAGCTGAAGAGCAAGCTTTTTGTGATGGTTCTTATGGTGATAAATTATTTTGCAGTTTTTGTCAACACACTGTAGATTGGACTTGGAGGAACACACTTGTGGATCATCAGAAATTGCTGGAGCACAAAATAGGCTATATATTTGTATATTTTACTGTTTGACTTTACACACAAGTCTCTGTTTTTCATGTGTTTTTGCGATTTTGAAAGGTAAATGGAAAATTGAAATTTACTGTCAAAAAAGAACACTGAATTTGACATATGAGAACATGGAGAACTTGCCACTCTTTTTTAAAAAAATCATCTTTGTATCTATGAGCATTAAAATATTAACTACTAAAAATAAACCTGATCAAAGGAAAGTCATATTGCCTTCAAGAAATTTCCAAAATTTAAATTTAAACAGTACTGGATTGACAGTTAGGTCTCATTTTACAGTTAAAATTGCTAGGTGTAGCCATAAGTTGTATTCTAATAGCTTATTCACTTGCATTTCTCACTTGTGGGACTTTCTTCCGGCTCCTTACTTTTCTGCCAATTATAATCTTCAAAAATTCATATACACAAGTCATCATCTTCTGTCTGCTTAAATCATGTTCTTTTTATTGTCCTCTTTTCTCAGTATTGTTTTTCTCAGATCATTTTTGCTTTTAGTAATCCTTTGTGTCATAGTGATTTTATCACCTTGCCTGAAGAGCAAAAAAAACAAAAAAAAAACAAATGTTTACAAAATTTCAAGCTAATCAAGACAGATAAGCATCTCTTAAAAATATAAATGTTTTTGTTTTGTTTAAAAAATGACAATAAGTAAATCAGGAATTGAAGAAACATGTTTTTCTTATGAACCCCAAAGGTGAAAGATGTAAAATGAATTTGCATGACAGATTGCCCCCCTCTATTGTATTTGCAGCAATGAGCAATGATGGAAACACAAGTCAAATAAAAGTGGAAAAAGAGGAAGATGATGAGAATACTATTGCTTGTAATGGCGCAGAAGAAAATGAGTTTGATTGTAAAACCTCTATTAATGCTTTGTGTGATACAATTAATGAAGGTAAATGCTTTTGGCTTCAAGATGGACATCTATGCAAGTAATGCTATAGAAAACTTTTTTTTTTTCTTTTGATTTAAAAATAACTCTTGAAGTTTTGATATACTGTAAAAGAAACAAATCAATCAATAATTCACTTGTCATCTGCATGAAATACTTTTTTAAACTTAAAGGAAAGAAAAAATATATTGTTGATTGCTCAAGATTTTCTGTTCTTGCATATAAATATATGGAAAAAAAGTTTTTGCCATAGATATTTGTTTTCCAGCCATTAGGACAAGTTATACATTATTTTCTGTGTATAAAATTAAGTTTTTATTTTGTTTTAATCTTTTTTATTTATTTTTCAAAGAGCGGAAAAGATAAATATGCTAAAAACAAAAATTGAGCTATTTTATTTATTTTTTATTTTTATTTTATCTTGCCCGATTTTCTGGATTGTTTCAAATGTTTTACACTTGTCAATTTTTATGGTTTTGAAAACCTTGAGAAAAAAAAAAAATCAAGTACGAAACTGGATTTAACTTTTTTTTTTCTCACTCACTCACACAGACTATTGTAAATTGTACATACTATATGGCCATTGCTAACAAAAAAAGTTACTCCTTGCTTAATTTTTGTCTACGAAGCCATGTGAAAAAAGTATATCATTGCCTGTCTTGTATATATTGCTTTGAATTTCATTCTTTAATCATTCTATTAACCTATTCCTTTTTTTTTTTTTTTTTTATTGAAGTGAATTTATTCTACCCCCCTTTTTGAAAACTTTGTTTGAACATTAGATCTTTGATTCCCCATCTCAGGCTCATGCAAGTATTGGGTGTCATTAGTATTCCTCTCTCACAGACATGAAGTTTTTGTCTTGAACGGGAAGTGCTTGTTGGCAACTTTTAGTCTTAAGTTTCAACTCTGGTTACCATGTATGTTATTTGTGGGCTTTGTTTGTCTTTTTTTTTTTTTTTTTTTTTTCTGTGCATGCATGTAATAGGAGTAGATAACTTTCCTATCACCCAGTCAGTACTCCTTCCCCTTCTCGTGAGCAGGAGTAGAGGCTCATTGTTTCCTGTTTAGGAAGGGATTCCTGGATCTTCTTTTTCTCTGGCCTCTGTAGTGATGCTGTTGTGAATCTCTTGTTATGTGTGCAGTTTGTGGCATGGTCTCTCATACTGAGGATACTTGGCTGGAAGTTTCCTGGTTGCTGTTCCTTAAAAGCCCAATCACTTGTGTAGCACCTTGAGAGGCTGCTCTGATCAATAATTGCATAATATCAGAGTTCTTGCAGTGCCATGTCTCTGGTATGCAATCCTGAGCCCACATTATGTTGCAGTCTGTGTCAGTTCCTTTCTGCCCGTGTCACATACAATGACCATCTGCTACTATTATGACCATAAACAATCAAAAATCACTTAAACACTTTAACATTTCCTTCTTCAACATCCGTGGCATTCCTACCAACTTCTGCAGTGTGGAATCTGTCCTCTTTGAAAAGTCTACGGGTATACTAGCTTTCTGTGAGACTAATCTTAATTTGTCAATCCCCTCCTCTGATTTCTTGATTTCCAGCTACGTTCCTTTCCTTAGAAAGGACTCTAAAATCCACATGCATGGCCTGGGAGTTTGTCAGTCTATCTCTCCTCAATTCAGTAAGCTATATCTTTTTCTACATCTATTTGCGCACACATTTGTGTTCGGTGACTTTAACGCCCACCATATCGTGACTTAAACACTCTGTAACTAACCTTGCTATATTATCGGAAATGCTATGGAGTACACCACTGTCTTGAGAGGAAAGGGAACAATAGAAAAAGATTGCTTACTGAATTGAGGAGAAATAGACTGAGATACATACAGGAATAGTCTGGAGACTCAAGAGAGAGTTCCTCAGCTAGTGGAAGATCGCCACAGACAAACTCCTAGGCCATGCATGTGGATTTTAGAGTCCTTTCTAAGGAAAGGAAAATAGCTGGAAATTAAGAAATCAGAGGAGGGGATTGACAAGTTATGGTTAGTCTCGCAGAGAGTGAGTATACCAGTAAACTTTTCGAAGAGGACGGATTCCAAATTGCAGAAGTTGGTATGAATGTCACGGATGCCAACAAGTTTAGTTACGGAGTGTTTGGCATCCAAACCCCTAACTTTTCACTCACTCAATCCCTCATACAAGTGGTTGACTTTCCTACACATTTCCTTAGTAACCCTGATTATAACGCTTCTCTTCACTGTTTTACCTCCGCCCCTGACTCTTGTTGCGCTATGCAGCTCTGCCCTCTTGGCAACTCTGATCATGCCATAGTGTCTATTAACATCTCCTTCCACTCTCTCTTCAGCCAATAACCTCCTACTAACAGAATATCTTTCTGTTGGGACTCATTCCATGATTTCCTTGGAATGTGGTTTTTAAGCACCCCAATTCAAAAATGTGCATCTGAGGTCTCCTCTTGGTTAAAAGCTGGCATCAAGGCTTTCATCTCAGCAAGAGAATATAAAGTTAAATTGTGCTCATCTCTTTAATTCTCAGCTGCTATAGCCCATAGGGATCACTTCTTCCATCTGTACAAAAGTGACATGTCTGATAGCAACAGACGTCCCTTTGTCTCTGCTCGTAATGAGTGAAAGTGTGTCCTCAATGAAGCAAGGTTACTATTTGCTGATAGAATGAAACAACATATTGCATCTCACAAGTTTGGTTCATTGGCAGCTCTGCGAGAGTGTGCTGAGCAACAGCAAATCCACAATCCTTCCTCTATTCATCAATTCAAAATCCTAACTTCCTCAGCTGATAAGGCTGAATGCTTTGCTCAGAAATTCTCATCCAACTCAACACGACATCAGGAGTACCCACACCTGATTTTTTTTCCCCCCTAGTACTGAGGCTCTATTGAGTGAGATGAGCATAATCCCATTGATGGTATTAGACATCATATCTAAATTAGACTCTCATAATGCAAGTGGTGGTGATGGGATACCAGCTGTAGTTCTAAAGAAATGTGTTCCTGAACTGGTTCAAGTTCTCTTCAAACTATATAACTATTACCTTCCAGCCTGTTGGAAGTCCTCATCAATCCCTGTTTTTAAGAACTCTGGAGACCTTTCTGACTCATCTAACTACTGTTCTATCGGTCTCCTACCACTTTTTGGCAATGTCTTTGAGGCTTTAATCAATGCTGTCAAACAGTGATGTGAAGTTCATCCTAAACGGGTTCTCCTCCATTTCCTTTCATACGAACACTGGTGTTCCCCAAGGCTCTATCCTGTATACTACTCTGTTTCTGATCTTCATCAATGGTTTTCCTGATGTCATCAGTTCTCAAGTAGGCAACAATGCAGATGACACTACCATTTACTCTTGTCTAAATAGTAAATCTGGCATTGCTGACAAAGTTAACCTGGCTGTTGGTCCTGAAAAGGACCTCCAATCTGTGGTTGACTGAGGCAGGAAATGGCTTGTAAACTGCTCTCATTTACCCACCATAGAGAAACCTCCCTGTCTCATATCAGCATGGCTAATGTTTAACTTCACAAGTGCATCTTCTTGGTCTCATGTTTTCCACTGACCTGAGGTGGAACAACTACATTGAATAAATAGCTTCATCTACATTTTTGTGGCAACTGCTCTGACAAACTGTTTTCACTGGTGCCCCAACTGCATAAATTTAAGTGTGCTACTAGGTTGGCATCTCGGTCCAACCCTTTCACTGTTGAAACAGTTAAATGTAACCACCTCTTCTGCTCCAACAGCTTCTCTCACACTTCCCAACAGTGGAACCCTTTTCCTCTTACTTGCTTCCCTGATGGCTATAATCTTCAAATATTCAAATGTAATGTCAATTGACATCTTCTAATGCCTTGTTCTTGATCCCCATCCTTTTCTTTATCCTTTCCTCAAACATTCCTCTTTACTCTTGCTTTCACTCTCTGTAAATCCTCTCTCTTTACTCTTGCTTTCACTCTCTGTAACTCCTCTCTCTTTACTCTTGCTTTCACTCTCTGTAACTCCTCTCTCTTTACTCTTGCTTTCACTCTCTGTAACTCCTCTCTCTTTACTCTTGCTTTCACTCTCTGTAGCTCCTCCCTCTTTACTCTTGCTTTCACTCTCTGTAACTCCTCTCTCTTTACTCTTGCTTTCACTCTCTGTAACCCTTTGTGTGCTAGTAGCACTCCCACCTTGCTTGGGAAGAAAACAGTCTAGTAAAAATGTTTAACAGTTTTTTCAGTTCCTGGTGGGGGTATAGTAAAGTATTTGTTTATTTTTCACAAAGTTTTATAAATTTATGAGTCTAAAATATTTTCATAGTAATTTCTTCATAATATGGAAAATAATAAATATTGAATTGTATTTGGCTCACATATTTTTATAATCTTATATATATGAAATTACTTTTTGTAAATAAACAGCCTAATAATTAGTTTTTTTTTTTCAGTTCTCAAGAAAAGTAAATGCATAAATCCAGTTTCATTAAAATTCTACAAATGGCTTTTTAAAACAATAAAAATTACCTTATTTGTGTGTGTGTGTGTGGGGGGGGGGCTACAAGTTTTAAAACTTTGCTGAAATTTCTTCAAGCAATATGGACCTTGTTACTGCCCCATCCTCAGTTGGCTTTAAACATCAAAACTTAAACTACTCAAATTATAATTCTCAAGAAAGAGAAAAAAATGTTAACTTGCTTTAGATGGCTGAAACAAATACAGATATACAACATTATGAAGCTACTTCATTTAAGTGAGTCTTTTCCAATAAAAGGCATGTCAGTTGAAAGTATGTTATAAGATTATAATTTAAAAAATATATACTTACTTTGTTCAGATTGATAGTCAATACATCATTGAAATCTTTCTACTGTATTATTTTACTTACTTATAGATACTACTATTTGTACTTTCATTGCAAACTAATAAATGTTAGTCATTATATGGTGAATTTATTTGGATTAGTGTCGTCATTATTATTTCTACCTGATAAGGGGCTGAAGGCATATTAACAGGAAATATAGAAACATTTGTGCATATTAAATATCTAAATTAATTTTTATAAACATGTCCTCTAGTGACTTCAATAGTCAAAGTTTGAAGGAAGATCACTTAACACTAAGAATTTATAAAAATGTTCTTTCTTGCCTAAGTCTTAATATCTCTCTCCACACACACACACACACACACGTATGACTTCCTTAAACTACCCTGTGGTGCATGAGGCTCACACCCTAACCACATACAAAACTGATGTCATTTCCATACCATTATGGGATAGTTGCATGTTGTCCTTCTAAACTGGTTACCAATCAAGGCTAGAGAGCCCAGGCTGCATTGCTTTTTAATCCATACCTGGAGGGAGTAAAGGAGGATTTATACTTTTCCAATGGTATTTGTTCAAAAGTGAATAAAGTGTACCTGGCCTAAATTTTAACTACAAAATGATTCCACTTTTCACATTAGTAATTGTTATGTCATGTGTGCATCCAAGGATTAAATCAGTTACAAAATGAAATGGTTGGTGTAATATGATGTAAACATTGAGCATGGCTGCTTTTGAAAAGGTAAATCTTGTATAGTTAATTAGGGTTGGATATTATGAATTCCATGACAATGTTTTAGTATTTGTTAATATCACCTTGAATCTTTGAACCTACTCTCCTAAATAGACCCAAAGAACAAAAATGAATATTGTGTGTTTTTGTTTTTCTCGTTCTTTGAAAAATAACTTCAAACCAGGTATACTTTTCTTGATGACTCAGGTGTTAAAAAGAAAATTAGCATTGCTTGTTTCTAAGAGTGGGTAATTGAATGGCAAAATTGTGGGTTGAGAACTTTGATCCAATATATTTCATCCATACAAGAAATATACATACACACACACACACACACAGTGGAAACAGCATTCTTGTTTGACCTCCAGGGGTCGGTGCATTGATGGTCAGGTGGGCTATACTGATGACATAGGCAGTCATAGTTGCAAGTTTTCTTAGAAACTGGACTAAAGGATAAACCTTTTCAAAACAAATCATGATTTGGAATGAAAACAGTTACAACACCTGTCCTGATAAAATTTCTGGATGAGGTATTCTTAAAATCCTCTTTGTGTGGATCAGTTATAAGAAATAAGGAAATTGAATATAGGAGAGGCTGTATTAGCAGTAGTTTTGCCCAACACTGCAATATGCCACAAAACTAAAGTACTAACTTAAGAATTCTATTCAAGTTTTTAAATAGCCTTGTCAGACTTTTATATGGATGTCCTGTATGCTGCTGAACCTATTCAGAACTGTCAACTGTATACAACGACTTTCTCAAATCAATGATTGAAAATGGCTTTGAGCAAATGAACCCTGTAGGTGTTGTGAAGGACCATCCTACCTTGAATATTATGGACTGCTGTTACATGATCACAAAGAACTGTACCAAATGACATTACATAAGGGCTTTCAATAGCAGCAACATCTAAAATGGATATCGCATGTAACTCAGAGAAAATAATGACATAATCAAAATGTTGACATTCCCTACTACTTCAAACAAAAAGTTAGGAAGGAAACCCTCATTAATACAGGAAAGAGGAATAACATTTAGTGGACTTGAGAAAATTATTTTACTGAAAAACTGTTTTAATGAAAAGATTTCATAAATTTCTACCAAAAGTATCACCAACTGTTCAATCAATAAATACCGAATGTTTCCATATAAGGAAAAATACACACACACACACACGCACACACATGTGTGTGTGTATATTTGTGTTACTATGCCAGTCTTTTTATTTCCTAAAACATGAAACTGAATAAATATATATATATATATATATATATATATATATATAGCAATTTTACATTAAAAATGAAGACTGGTATGTTTTAGACTCTGATTAACTTCAGTTTTTTTTCAATTTTTTTTATTTTTATTCCTGCTGTTTAAATTTTATTTTTTCATTTTTATCATTCAATTACCCACTTTTTATCTGATAGGGTGGTTCTTTTTTTTCTGTAGACAGCAGTAAATGGGAACTTTTAATGAATTATAAAAAAAAAAAAAAAATCAAGAAACTTTTCAATTGTTTCTGCTTCTTGTTTTTCTATTTATTTTTGTTTGATTATTAATATATTTTTTCTGTTCTTCCCTATTCTCTCTCACACACACCAGCCACACCAACAAAAAAGAAAAAGAAAAAACATAGAGAATTAGATGAGACTAATTTGCAAAAAGTTACAGAAGATGGGATCAAAAACACTTCAACAGAAAATGTTGCAGAAAATTCAGTATTGTCTGAAGGTTTGTTTTTTTTTTTTGTTTTTATTATTATTATTATTATTATTTTTTCCTACTTGTCTCTTTTTTTTTTTCCTAATTATCAGATAAAAATGATTTCCATAATCGTCATTTGGGAAAATAGAAATGTTACAGCAGGGTATAGGTTACAATTACATTGGTGGCGATGTATGAGAGTAAAGGTGGTAAGAAGTGAATATGGTGATAGGCATGAAAAGATTAAAATTACAGTATTCATGGAAGCAGGGAATCTATTCCACAAAGTAACTGTTCTTGTGGGGAAAATACTGTCTGGGTTACATTTGGAATATAGAGGAAATGTGGCTGATTCATCTCTATGGAAGTAGCATCACATGTCTGAACAGTAAAAATCTGAACTAGTGGAAACTAAAGTAAGTTAGATTTTTATATCTGGTTTAAGAAAAATATTCCATGTTGTAAAACAAAAAAAACACTTGAAACAGACTTCAAAATGTCCCATAAATAATGTAACACGCAGGAGAAAATGGCTTACCTCCTGGTAAAATGCAGGTTGAAACGTGTCTTGTGTGTAAAGTATCCCAAAAAGAAAATGGTGGCTTTGCAAGTCGTTCTTGAAGTTGGGTCAATCTTGCGAAACTCTTTTTTGCACCTATGCAAATTTAATCTGTTACTCAAGTTACAAAAAGTGCTTGACAAGTCAACATAGGAGTGCAATTTTGGTAGTGAGCAGGAGACACGTGTGTTGGATTGTTTGGCTTGTTTAACGCTGTTTGGTGAAGAAAACAGATTATGTAGCACAATGAAACTTACAAATAATAATGAAAGTGAAAAGAGTGCATGTTTATATATTATGATTTTTATTCTATATTATTTTTGTATATTTATCTTACCAGCTGTGGAAATGCCAGCTAAGAAAAAAAAGAAGAAGTCTAAAAAAAACAACTCTACTGAAAACGTTGTGGATGATGGTAATTAATATTTTTTACATGCATCATATTTAGTTTTTCAGTTTTAAATGTCATGAATATATACACTCTAGTATTTCACTTTTTATATTGAAAAAAATGTTATATGTGCTATTAAGGGGAAATGATCCATTTGTTAAAAAAAAAAAAATGATGAAAAAATTTTTTTTTTTTTTTTTTTTTCTTTTGTGACTAATTTTTATCGATTAGTATTTATTGGACTTCTCTCCATCAATAACATTTGTTTGTCAAGTTTTTTTTTTTTAAGAAGTGGGGCTCCTACTATTCATATTATTAAAAAAATTGTCTCAAATCTTCAATGTTTTTTCAAGACATATTTATTTTTTTTGGCAAAGTTTAGCCTTTGTGCCTACAAAAAATGTCATGTCATAAGGACTGTTCCCTTCACACGGCTATTGCTGCATACACATTTCTAATCAGATTAACAGTACTTTAATGGATACAGACATTTAAACTTGATCATGGTAACATGCTAAATTTAATTACATGCATTATCATGAGAAAGAGAGCTGGTTTAAGTGACTTTGAACATGGCATGATTGTTGGTTGCAGACAAGCAGGTCTGAGCATTTCAATAACTGCTGATTTATTAGGATTTTCACACAACCATCTCGAGAGTTTACAGAGAATGGTCAGAAAAAGAAAAGATTCCAATGAGTTCAAATCCCTCATTGATGAAAGTTTTGAGGTGAATACTCAGACTGGATAGAAGGGTAACAGTTGCATGAATAAGCACTTTTTACTTTATGTAATACATCTCTGAATGCACAACACGTCAATTCTTGAAGCATATGAACTATACGACAGCCAAAGACTACACTGAGTATGAAACTTCACTAAAGCTCACAAAAAATTGAACAGTAGAATATTAGCAAAACTTTGTCTGTGGTTTCTACTGCAGTATTTGGAAGGCAGGACCAGAATTTGATCTCGACTACATAAAAGTATTTATCCATCCTGCTTTGTATCAACAGTTCAGGATACTGCTAGTGATGTAATACTAAAGGAAATATTTTCTTCACATACATTGGGACCTCTGGTACTAATAAAAATCATTTAAATGCTACAGCTTACCTAGGTATGGGCCTTGGTTTATGACTACATTGCATCTATTCTCTGGTGGTCACTTCCAACAGGGCAGCATATTATGTCACAAATCAAAACCTAGTTAAAGACTGAGTTATGGAACACAGCAATGAGGTTTTTATATTAAAGTGGCTTCTTCAATCATGTATCCTGATCTCATAATGCACCTTTAAGATTTGGCGGAAAGGGGCATTCGAATCCTGGATGTGCACCTGACCAATCTAGAAGTATTGCAAGATGCCATAGTTAGAGCAATGATCCACATTTCAAAAGAGTATTTACAGAACGTTGTCAATGCTAACAAGAATTGTCCTTAAGGCAAAAAGGGGTCAACACCGTAATAAAACCAGTGAGTGTATATAATTATTTGTATGTTGCTTTTCATATGTATATGAGTGGTTAGTTTAAAATGTGCATTTTAATATACATTAAAAAAAAAATTTCCTTTTTCTTTACCCATCTAGAGCAATGTTTCAACACTTAGTGATTTCTTTTTTTTATCCTCCCCAAATGGATGACTGCTTAATAGTCAGCACATTGATGCATTAAGTTTTAATGACATGAAAAGTGTAATAAAACTTAGAAACACTTAAAAAATACTTACTCATTCTTAAAAATTGCTAAGCTGGAAAAATTAATATCAATGGGTAAATAAATGTGTGTGATATATGGCTCCTTACATTTCATTTCAAATCAAGCCATGGCAACAGGTAACATTTTTTTTTTTAATTTAGGAAACTTCACGTGTTCCTTTGTCTAAAATCATTGATACATGCCAAATGTTAGATCTGTATTTTTTAAAAATCAGAACATCTTGAAATTTCAGTGTATTTTGTGCATTTTACAGAACAAGGCTTTTAACGAATTTTTAACGTTCTTATTGCCAAGGATATTGCATGCACACATTTGAAACTGGGTGACAATATTTAATATTTACAGCTTAGGTGTGTCATGTACTTTTTAGAAGGACCTGAAAATGGCTAAAATGCAAAAAGACACTGTTCAGTTTGAGAGCTTCTCATATACAAAGTCTGTTAGATACAGCATTCAAATCAGTTTTCCTGTCATTTATTAGCTAATAGATTATTTCTATGCAGGAAACATTTATGACCTCAGCAGACTGTATAATAGCCATATGACTCTGTCTATGATTTCTGCTGTCATCTCTAAGCTGGATTTCAATAAAGTGTCTGTTATCTCTGTAATTAGCGTATGGAAAAAACAGTAAATAAAAAGAAATACTTGTGTGAGGCATAAAGTGACTGACTTTATCACTTTAATACTTGAAAAAATAAACTTATGTCCTCTCATGCTGATGTAATAAATAGTTTTCTCATATTGGTTTATTCTTTAATTTTTCTAGAGGAACATTTGGCAGTGTCTGAAGATCAAAATGATGAGGCAAAAAATGTGGATAAAGAAAAAATAGGTAATTTTTTTTTTTTTTTTTTCTCTCTCTCCAGTGTTGGAAGTATTCAGTTTGAAAATAGTTTCTGTTAAATGCTCATTTCATTGAATTAAAATACATATTTATTTATTTTTTTATTTTTATTTTAATTGTTTATTTTTGCTGAGAGAAGAGCATATTACAATAATGTTCAATTTTTTTTTTCTTTTTAAGATACAGAGTTGTCATTTTCAGAGACAAAACGAATGTTTGATGATATACAACAAAAGCTAATGTCAAGTAAATTTGTTAACTCGAAAAGTTTTTGGGATAAATACAGTTTCCATCCTTACAGTAATGAGAATTGCAGATCTGCTTTTAACAAAATTATGTCCAAGGTAAGTTGAAGGATTTTTTTTTTTTTTTTTTTAACTCTAATGCCGACAGTTAAATAATTATTAATCCTGTAATGTATTGCTCTGTGGAAATATCATTTTAAGATACCGGTATGTTAACACAACTGCTATATTTTTCTTTACATTCAAATATTTGATTCAGAAATAGAAAAATTTTGGGTGGCTTTGTAAAAAAGAAAAAAATATATATATATATATATATATATATAACGGGCTTTCTTTCAGTCTTTCACTGACTGGACAAATTTTGCCATGTTTTATGTTTTGATTCCATTTCACATTGGTTTGAACAAAAACTAGGAAAGACCCTGTAAGAAAACACTAATCCTCTTTCCAATATATTGGATTATTTATTCACGTATGAAACTTGGCACAGTCTGGGGATGGGGTCCAGGTATAAAGTGACATTTTTGCTAGATTATATTTCAGAAAGGCATACTTCTAAATTCATGTCCATGAGATCTGGCATAAAGATGATTAAAGGAAAGGGGGAGCTGTTGGATGCTTATTGGGATTGGTAGCACATCTGGGAATGCCATGTGTGGGTGGCGTAATGGGTAATGGCTTAGAATTGTTAATCAGAGAGCTGCATTCCTGGTTTCCATTGGGTTCGTTATATCCACTTATGTGCGAATACCTTTGTACCTATGTAGAAAAGTAAGATCTGGTTTTTATCTCAAATCTTTTTTTTTTTTTTTTTTAACTCTGCATCCACTTTGACCAAATGGAAATGGGAGAGTAAAGAGGCATATATGAGTGGGGTGGATACCAAGTGACAACAAAACCTGAACTTGGATATATTGGGGTGCTGGTCTATATTAACCCATGCTTGGGATTGAGATCAGTTCTGGGTTGCTCTTGGCAGGAGATGAATTTATCCATTGTGTGGTTCCACTGCCACCCATTTGTATTGCTAGCCATATTTTGGGAAGGATAGATGGCTGAGGATTTGGTAGAGGGAAGAACTGATCTATGAGATTTACATAGAAGTTGTCCAAAGTATCAGTGACCAACCCACCCAGGCGAGCAGGCAAAGCCCTGAGTAAAACATTTGCATATAATGTGGGAAACATAGTTTTCATTCTTATTTCTAGATGTGGCATTTGACTTTTATCTTGTTACCTTGTGGACATGCAACTTTCCCAATTCTTTTAGCGTGAACTGATAAGATCAAGAACTGAAATTCAATGTGGGTTAATTATTGGCTGGGCTGGTAGAAAGCTTGGGCAAGGGCCATGTATGTTTACACACTATGGCTTATCTTTTTTTTTTCTTTCTCTCTCTCTCTTCTTTTTTTTTTATTATCAGAAATCTGTTAATTTTTAAGTATAAATTTCACCATCTAATGTCACTAAACAAATAATGTACGACATTTCAGGATTCATCTAACCCCAAACAATTTTTGATAACTTCAGGTGCAAAAGAAGAGAACTATGCTCGAACTTGTAAGTGCCGCTGGTAAGCTGATGGAGGTAAGTTTATGTAGATATTCTTGGGGTGGAGAGTCAAAAAATGTAATAAATTGGAGGGTTGGGGGTAAATGATTAAAGCATAAAACTTCAAATTAATAAAATTAATAATAAATGTCCATCAAGTAAAAATGATTTAGCAAGAAAATATTTACATGAAGTCTTGACAACATTACAATATCTATCAAAAAAGTAATAAAAATAAAAAGCAAAGTTGGATGGGCTTCCAGAAATTTAAGTTGGGAAGGAGCAGTTATTTTTCACTCATGAGTACATGCAATTTATTTGTATCATTTATTTCTGACTCGATAGATTGAATTTCATACTAAATAAATTCTTGAAAAAAGTGTTTTGATTTAGTGATAAATAGATTAAGAAATGAATTGGCATGTACCTTGTAAATATGAAATTAAACAAGGATTTGGATAATATTTTTCACAATTAACCCTCTGTTTATAACATGCAGTATTTGAACATCTCATAAAATGTTTCCCTTAATATTTAGCAAGTGGCAAGTCAAATTTTCATAATTAATCAAGTAGCTTTGTGAATACCTTTTGTTAAGTAACTACACAGTTTCTGGTTTTATTTTGAATATTTCTGTGAATTCCAAGCAGTTTTATGTTTATGGAAAATAAAATGCAGCCTATTTTTGAAACTTAAAAATTCATTTTTAATATTGGCCTTTTTAATTTAATTTTCAAAATAAATCCTGTTTTTCATTTTTATTTATCTTATATAAATCAGAATATAGAAGAAGAAAGTTAAAAATTACATCTTAAATGGGATATTTGGAAACCCACAGTACTGATAATGTGACAGTGTAATGCTGTAATAACAGATGGTTAAAGAAACTGACTTTCATGTCTTTTTTTTTTTTTTTACCAATTATTACAAGAATATTTCTGTACACAAGTTTCTATAAAGAATGTACATTCAAACAAGTTTTATATTTTTAAATATTTTTCTTAGTCGTTTTTGTCTCTTGCTGTTCAAGACGTTTCCCCGTTTTTTGTAAATTCAGATTAAGGTTTTGAGCATTATCTGGTTACATTCTTTATCAATGAAGTATGAAATTTGATGAACTTTAAAATATCTCTTGTATGTATCTTTGGTATCATTTTCAATTTTCAGTGTTTGTGTTGTCACTTAAGTGTAACAAAATCTCAGAACCTTAACAAGAATGTGGTCTTTAACAAAATTGCCTAATTTGTGTTAAAAGCATTACATGAAGAAATGTATCATTGACCTTAACTCTAATAATTTCTCTTTCTTTTTATTCCAGGAATCACCCAAAATGTAAGTGTTTTTGACCATTGTTTTTAGGCCATAGTTTTGGTATATTATCTATGATTAAATCTCTAAACTTTCAACTTCTTATAATTCTATTATTAGAATTAACAATAAGACAATTTCTGACCCCCCCCCCAAAAAAAATTCCTACAATTTGTAATCTGGGCTCCTTTTTTTTCTTTTCTTTTTTTTTTCTTCATATATTGCCAGCAATTAATCACTCTAGATATACAATATTAAAAAAAATGACAAACTCTTTTTTAAAAGAAATCATGTGTTTTGAGGGTATTTGGTTTTGACTTCCATTAGGGGTGGTGGGAAGCAGTTTATATAGGAAACTATGAGATTGATAGAGGGATTAACTTTGATCAAAAGTAAAAAAAAATTTTAAAAAAATGATAATAATGCTTTGGAATGCTTAATCTATAGTAATTTTTTATTTATTTAAATTTTTTAACAAATAATTGTTTCTGTTTGTGGTAGCTCCTCCAAAACTTATGTGAAACTATTATTGAATACAATGCCAGTTCTGCCTACCTGGTGAATCCATCTGACAATTGCATGAAATCCAAATGCTTGTGTGTAATTTTGTCTGGGTTAAAGGAACAGTTGTTGGTCAGTGGTGTTCTTGTTTTAAAATGAGTTAGCAAACCATTAGTTTTGACAGTCATGTTTTTTTTTTTTTTTTTTTTTTTTTTTTTTCGCCCCAAGCAAAGTGGGAATGCGACTAGTGTGCAGGGGTTACAGTAAGTGAAAGAAAAGACTAAGAATAAGGAGGATTGTGGGAAGGACAAAAAAGATGAATGGGATTCAAGAAGATAAAAGATGGAAATTAATGTTGTATTTAAATTTTTGAATATTAATTAGAGAAGCAAGTAAACAGAAGAGGCCTACAGAGGGGAAGTGTGAGAGAAGAAACTGTTGGAGTAGAAGTGGCGGTTATATTTAGCTATTTCAATAGTAAAAGGAATGTCATTCTAGTAACACACTTAAATTCATGTATTCAAGGCACTAAGGGGGAAAAAGTTTGTCAGAGCTGTTACCATGAAAATATTTGTAGAAAAATTAGTTGGAAGCTGCATTATGTTGATGAGAAAGTGACTGAAGTCAGGATGCCTAACTGAAAATTTTTTTTTTTTTTTTTTTTTTTAATTTTGTAGATTCTTTGACAAAAATAAGCAGATAAAGCCCATTTCAGCTTTCAAATTGTACTCTGAAACTAACTATAAAAAGATTTCCAAAAAACACCCAGAGGTAAGTTGTTTGTTTTGTTTTAATAGATTCGGTGTTTGTGAAATAGATTGATAGTGGACATGTGGTGTGAAGCATTCTACAAATATAAACATAAATAATCTTTTAAACAATTTCTTGGTGGTACAAAACTTACGGACAAGGTGCAGTAGAAATACCTCCCACATAATAACATTATTGACAATGGTGTCTTCATTTAGCTAATGCCTTCACAGTATGTGGGAGGTATTTCTGCCACACACTGTATAAGCAGATATAAAAGCTCTTAGACCACCTTTCTTTTTCTTGAAATTAAATTTCTTTTTTTCGTTATAAGAATTCACTCAGTACAAGGTTCAAGAGCTACTCAGGGTAGAGAGTTACATTTAAAATGATAATGACAGATGTGTATATGAATGAAAGAAGTTGGTTGGATTATGAGAATAATTTGGGCAGATAATGATTGAATTTTGGCTAAGATTGGTGTGTTTAGGGAATTATTCAATCTGGACTTTGATCCACAAAGTATCAATTCTTGGAAAAAAAAGCTGAGTGGACCTTTTGTATTACCTTTGGAAAATGTAGGTAATGAAGATGGTTTGACTCCTTTGAAGTAGTAATCTGTCCTATTTATAAAGGTCTGAACTATTGGAACTAAAGCATGGGGAACATCTGAACATTTGCCATGGAAATAGAAATAAAGTAGTGAGAGGCTTGCAGTGTTGCATCTGTGTGGAAAGAGGCTGCAGAACGGGATATAAGTCTTTTCTATCAAAGCTGGAAAGTGTAGGATCCTAGTTTTAGAGCAATATAAAAGACAATCTACATGCATTCTGTAGGTGCCATGCATGATGTGAGCTTGGACAATTGTTGCATTTCAACTTGGCAGAAGAATTTTCACAGTAAGCTGCCATTACTTTCTGTGACAAAATTGTTGCCACCCAAGGCTATAACACCCAGTCTACTTTGCTAATTAACCCATAGCTGGGGATAGAATAGATGGATTCATGCTTTTCTCAAGTGTATATATGCATAAGTGCATGTAACAAACTTGGCTCTCAGATTTCTTGTTCTGAGCCATTATCTATTAACCCCACTTACCACACCTATTATTCCCAAGCAGTCACCCATCTAGATACTGACTAAACTTAATATTGCTTAACTTTGGTGGATTGGACAAGAACTAGTTTTCTAATGTGATATGGCCATAAGGTTTTTGTCTAGCCCTAAACTGGACTCTACTTATACAGGGCTTTAAGCAAAAACATTTGGTTTTTAACAAAGAACAATGCCCTTTTTCATTTATTTGGTTCTTATTTTCTTCTCCTTCACTCAAGTGGGTTGCTGCTTTGAACACTAGATATCACTCAACTTCAAAGACTGTCTTCCAGTCATCTCTATCTATAAAAGGCAGGATGTGTGTGTGTGTGTGTGACGAATGCATGGCTGCAATTTTCGACAGATTTGCACCAAAATTTACATGCACATGCTCCAAGTTAGTGGGAAGGCCAAGACCGACTTTGCATTTCCCAACTCCCATCGATAGTGGAAATAATCAATTTTTTCATGCTTCTACAACAGTTTTCATGTAGTTTGCGACCATTTTGTACTGGCCAGAGTGAGAGCCAATAGCTGGCTGCCACGAATAGGCAGGAGATTCTATTGGCCAGCATGAGAGCCAACAGCTGACTGACACAAATGTTAACTAGCATGCAAAAAAATCAATAGCTGCATTTGTCACAAGTGGGGGAAAATTTAAATCTGCATGGCACTTTACTCCAATTGGCTCATTTGCTTGCTTAAACTCAACATTGATTCTGATTCCGCAGAACTGGGTTGGGTGTGAAAAAGTATTTGTTAATGTTTTTTCATTAATTTTTCCAGTTACAAGTCCTTTTTTAAAGCTGATCGTTTTGTGTTCATTTTGTTTAGTTCTTTTTTCATAACAGATTTAATGTTTAGTATAGAGCTTAGAAAAAATTTGCAGTGTGAGATAAGCAAGAAGTAAGGCATGTAGCAACATCAGCATGGCAAAGGGCACTCTTTTAAAGGCAAGGAAGGGCAAAAATATTTTAAGTCAAGTGATAGCGATTGCTGTATGAGTCGTACGATTTTTGAATCAAGCACGGGCAATGCCAGGCCATGCTTCTAGTTAAAAATAAAACCTGAGACTTCTGACTCCAACTTCGTGTGTGTTCAACCTGTCATATGGGGGATGAATCTTGCTATTTAACTCCTTATTGATATGAGAAGGGATGGATACATACCTGATGACTGGAATTTGCACTCTGCACATCCATAGTTAGTCTTGCATATATATCTCTGTTGTTAATGAAATAATAGAAGCTACCTTTTGAGTCTGGTATTTTTTATTTCAACTTTGTAAGGCCAGAAAAAGAAAGAAAGAATTTATTCTACAGAAAAAAAATGCTGTAATCAACAAGACTTATCGGTCTGGAGAAAAATGGAATGCAGCGATATTAGTTGTTTACTTAGCTCCTTAGCATAAACTTGCTCTGTAAATATCAGCTCTTAAAGTCTCACTCTTTGTTTCATTTCCTGTGTTATTTGCAATGATGTTATCATAGGTTATGGAGTGGGTTGGACATTGAGAGCCAATATTCTTATGGGTATCAGTGTGACATGAAATAAAGAACACACCTTGTCAATTCCATTGTCTGCACTGTTAAACTCTACTACATGCACCTTTTAAAATAAAGTATTGCTTTCAGATGAATTTGAAAAATTTATATATGTTAATTAGTCTCAATTTAATGCACCTTTCAAATTGTGTTCTCTTTTCAGTATCGAGGAATTCAGATCTTGAACAAGCTTACAAAAAAATGGGCAAAGTTATCTGATCATAAAAAACTTAAATACATTGATCTTGCTCTTGCTAAAAGAGATGACTATATGGTAAGGAATCTTCATTTGATTATTTTTTTTTTTTGTTTATTTTAAATATATTCATTGTCTTAGATGATGAGCATATTAATTATTGATATTATTAATTGATAACATATGATTTCATCCAAATTCTAAAAAAAAACAAGCAATGGCATGTTCACATCATCGGATGTTGACAATCAAATCTTCAACATAGCTGTTCTGCCTTCCAGTACGTGTCTGTTTCTCAGACAATCAGATAAACACCTTATAGCAATCAAAACTCTGAAGGCATTGAAAGCCAAAAGGGTGAAACTAGAAAAAGAAATAAATACACACTTGAGTCTAGTTTAGTTTGAATAACAGATAAATAAAAAGGAATATGACAAATGCAGCCAGAGGACAAACATAGCAGTAAGACTCTGTGTCTAAATGTGTAAGAGAAGTAGCAAATAATTTGCTTACATGAATATGTATAAAGTTTGCTGGGGATAAGTTCTTAGAGAGGAAAGTTACATCAAGTTGCAGTTTGAGAACAGTATTTAAACGGTCAACATGTGGTAACTGGTTCTGTATGGAATGGGAAGTAAAATAATATATGCAAAGGTGGCTCCCTTAAACAAAATGTTTAAATAATGATATGATATTAAAGGAGACCAATGCAGAGGAAAAGTTTTAAGTTATGTACTGGTGATAGGGAATAAAATTTGGAAGATAAGAAAATACGGACTGTGTGCTTTGAGCATGTGCAAGTCCTGGTGATTACTACAGGCTGAACAGAAAATGGTGGTTAATCTAAAACTTACCTAAACTAAGAAGGGTATAAACAAGGGAAAAATAAAACAATACAGGTTCTGTGGTAAAAGAACAGTACTTGTGGGAGGAAACAGATGTAATTAAAAAGAAAAAAAAAAAGAAAGAAACTTACAAAGATCCATGAGAGTTCAAAACGATTTTTGTCCTTAGCTAGAAACTGTTATTTCCTATTTACTTACACCTAGAAATTTCTTGAATTTACTTATTCCCATTGGGAAAATCCACTGATATGAACATTCTTGTTCATGTAAAGTCGGAGCAAAACAACACATGATTCAAAAGTAACATTTATTTATTCTAGGGTTATACAAGAGAAATCAAAAAAAATTTAGAAGTGAGTAGTTTTTTCGTGATTTACACGTATAGTGTAAATTATTTTCATAAATCAGCCCCCAAATATAGTCTCTCATGTTTTCGTTATATGATCCTTGGTAACCAGAATGTTCTAGAAATTCTTAGAAACTTCTCCTTCAGCAACTGTAATGGAAAATAAGTTAAAACATTGATGTCCAGTTCACAAGAGCAAAGTTTGAAGGGAATAATAGTCATTTCCTTTGCTTTCTAAACAGAAGCAATTTTGTTAGACGATTTTGTTATCACCTCTAAAATCAGCAAGTCTCAATACACTATTCCTAACCTGCACTGCACAAGTTTCCTCTTACATCCATTTAGTAATATATATATATATATATATATATATATATATATATATATATATATTAAAGAGAAGAGAGGTGCCGCAAATGTTTTTGGTTGTAATGTGGATTTATTTAGAAAAAAATATTATGCTTTTACATAATTTTACGACACGTGTTTCTGGTCTCGCGACTGTCTTCGGGTAAAAGCGGAGATTTCCACATATTATTAAAAATAATTAATTTTTTCCTTATGTTCAATGTTAAATATTCTCGATATGAGACATTCTCTGTAAAGACATTCGGATTACTAACATAAAAACAGTTGCCATGCCTATTTTAAAACAACAGTGAATGACTACATGGATGTAAAATAGTCATTATAAATAATTTAATAAATAGTGTATATTAAATATCCTCTGTGCACAAAATATATTTTTAACAAATGCAAACATTAACAGTAATTTTCTTGGCCCCCATAACTGACAAACAAACTAAACTTAGAAAAAATAAAGATATAAATAATACAAATAATAATTGTTTATAAAACACAGACTATTCTACAGAAACGAAGTACACAGTAACCACAAAATAATTGAAAAAATTAAGAAACTTACTACAGTGATACATATCACTAATTAACAAAAATGACATATTAAACTCCTATTAAACAAAAATGCAAAACATCAACAATGTGTCAGAATCTGCTTGCCCACATGAAGAATGCCTTATCAATAATTCAAGCAAGATACATTAGTTACACAACCACTACATTATTGCATTGATTAACTTGGCATTTATTTGTGAATCAATTAAATTACATATTTCTCCCCCCCACCCCAACAAAAAAAAAATAAAAAAAAATTCAAGAAATTTGACAAACCAAGACAAAATTACAAATGATTACAAATACTAGAAATAATTAGCATGAAATTTTATCAAATTTAGTAACAAACATACTGGACATATTTCATTATAAAAAATAAAAATGATGCATGAAGATGTGATATTTTAAAAATAATGAAACTGATATAGCAAACAAAAACTCTTTGATAATGGCTACTGAAAGCGATTGGGCAAATTTATATTTAAATTTTCACTAGAAACCAGAAAAATGGTCCTAGAGAGGGAAATAATCAATACACATAACACAGAACTTTTGTCATTCCTTAACCAAATTTTTATGAATGAAAATATACTATGTATGTAGCAAAGATGCTTATAGCTATGCATCCTGTGTCCCTGACGCATAAAAATCTGAAAGGACACAGTAACTTTTTCATCTGTGCATCCCACGGGGTACAAATAAAGTTTCTCATGAAAAATGATACATTGCACATAGTCTTTCAATGTAAACATTCTTTCTTTGGTCTTAAAAGGAAAATAACTACAAATATTTGTAAAAAAAACAAATTTTAAGGAAATAAATGTTATTGTTATATTTATTAAAATGTTTAACAAAATCAGAGAGACCATTATTAAGTTTTGAAAGAATTAAGAAAAATCAAATAATTAATTTGTTATTTATTATTAAAAATTACATTAAAAATCCAGATTCCATTTAAGATTAATGATTCTGTGATTGGAGAAAATTTGTTCCCCTACATTGATTTGGGATTTCTTGCTTTTCTTTCTTTCAGGAGGAGATCAAACATTGCTACCAAATTGATCCTTCTTTTGTTGCTAAACCGATTCTTAGCAAAGGTGAATGGCAACTAAAAGATAGATGTTCAGGTCTACCTGATGTACCACCAAGGTAAGATAAAAACCTGGTGTTTACTTTACATAAAATATCTATTGGTGTTGACTGTTTCTGATAGAACTTTGAGAGAATTATACCTTTTGTAGCCATTACTAACAGAAAACAGCACCCACATGAGTGATGAGAAGATTTTAGCCCAACCAAGAACATATCATTAGGGAAGTGGGCCTGGCTGAGAACTTTTCATTCATGGAAAATAGCATTTCTTTGCTTTGTCTCTATCATTGCAGATTGTTCTCCCTCTCCTGTTATCTGTCTTTTTTTCCTTTGTATTTCTTTTATATTGTTTTCTGTCTCTTTTTTTCACATTTTTCATTTTTCCAGTCACTCTTGCTCTCTTTCTGCATTCTTCATTTTTCCTGTTTTTCTTGCAATCTTTCCAGTCACTCATTTTTCCACTCTCTCTCACTCTCCCACATCATGGATTTTTACCTCTCTCTCCCACATCATGGATTTTTACCTCTCTCTCCCACATCATGGATTTTTACCTCTCTCTCCCACATCATGGATTTTTACCTCTCTCTCCCACATCATGGATTTTTACCTCTCTCTCCCACATCATGGATTTTTACCTCTCTCTCCCACATCATGGATTTTTACCTCTCTCTCCCACATCATGGATTTTTACCTCTCTCTCCCACATCATTGATTTTTTCCTCTCTCTCCCACATCATTGATTTTTCCTCTCTCTCCACATCATTGATTTTTCCTCTCTCTCCCACATCATTGATTTTTTTCTCTCTCTCCCACATCATTGATTTTTCTTCTCTCTCTCCCACATCATTGATTTTTCTTCTCTCTCTCCCACATCATTGATTTTTCTTCTCTCTCTCCCACATCATTGATTTTTCCTCTCTCTCTCCCACATCATTGATTTTTCCTCTCTCTCTCCCACATCATTGATTTTTCCTCTCTCTCTCCCACATCATTGATTTTTCCTCTCTCTCTCCCACATCATTGATTTTTCCTCTCTCTCTCCCACATCATTGATTTTTCCTCTCTCTCTCCCACATCATTGATTTTTCCTCTCTCTCCCCACATCATTGATTTTTCCTCTCTCTCCCACATCATTGATTTTTCCTCTCTCCCACATCATTGATTTTTTCCTCTCTCTCCCACATCATTGATTTTTTTCTCTCTCCCACATCATTGATTTTTTCTCTCTCTCCCACATCATTGATTTTTCTTCTCTCTCTCCCACATCATTGATTTTTTCTTCTCTCTCCCCCATCATTGATTTTCTTCTCTCTCTCCCACATCATTGATTTTTCTTCTCTCTCTCCCACATCATTGATTTTTCTTCTCTCTCTCCCACATCATTGATTTTCCTCTCTCTCCCACATCATTGATTTTTCCTCTCTCTCTCCCATCATTGATTTTTTCCTCTCTCTCCCATCATTGATTTTTCCTCTCTCTCCCACATCATTGATTTTTCCTCTCTCTCCCACATCATTGATTTTTCCTCTCTCTCCCACATCATTGATTTTTCTCTCTCTCCCACATCATTGATTTTTCCTCTCTCTCCCACATCATTGATTTTTCCTCTCTCTCCACATCATTGATTTTTCCTCTCTCTCTCCCTCATCATTGATTTTTCCTCTCTCTCTCCCACATCATTGATTTTTTCTCTCCCCATCATTGATTTTTCCTCTCTCCCCCACATCATTGATTTTTCCTCTCTCTCTCCACATCATTGATTTTTCTCTCTCTCTCCCACATCATTGATTTTTCCTCTCTCTCTCCCTCTCCCGTCGCTCATTTTTCCTCTCTCTCTCTCCCATCGCTCATTTTTTCTCTCTCTCTCTCCGTGCCGCTCATTTTTCCTCTCTCTCTCCCCCCCCGTCGCTCATTTTTCCTCTCTCTCTCTCCCCCCCCCATCGCTCATTTTTCCTCTCTCTCTCTCTCTCTCCCGTCGCTCATTTTCCTCTCTCTCTCTCTCTCCCATCGCTCATTTTCCTCTCTCTCTCTCTCTCTCCCCCCATCGCTCATTTTTTCTCTCTCTCTCTCTCTCCCGTCGCTCATTTTCCTCTCTCTCTCTCTCCCTGTCGCTCCCCCTCTCTCTCTCTCTCTCTCTCTCTCTCTCTCTCTCTCTCTCTCTCTCTCTCCCCGTCGCTCATTTCCCTCTCTCTCTCTCCCGTCGCTCATTTTCCCTCTCTCTCTCCCCCTGTCGCTCATTTTTTTTTTTCAAGGTAAATCAAAGTCAAGATCATTTCTGTATGCAGAGTGCGAGCATAAAACACACACACACACACATATATATATATATATATATATATATATATATATATATATATATATATATATATATATAGGGAGGAGGAATGACCCACATAACATTGTTTAGTCTGAAGAAGCTCTTTTGAAGGATAAAATGTGTCCTATGGCTCCTGACTTATTTTGCCATCATTACTCTGATATATAGAGTTTGTATATCATATTCTGCCATAGGTACATTTCTAGCAGTAAGGTGTCACTTAACAAAAACCATGGGGACAACTTACAAAAACCTTGTGAATAGACACAACCATTTCAGTGTTTATTGTATAGATACATTTTATATAAATTCCTTTCCACAGAAGCATCTTTCCTTTCCATCTTATTTGTACATATATATTTAATAGAAGTGTACCTATTGGAAGTGGGGTGGAGAAAAGATAGTGCTTAAATAACCTTGCAAATATGGGTTATATTTTTTTGACGAGGAAACCAAGGAATTTTATCTCTTAAATGAAATACTGATGCTTGACAAGAAATTGCTAAATTTTTTTAAATCATAAAAACTAAAACTATCTAAAGAAAGCTCATACTATCAAAAAAAAAAAATATAACCAAGTCACTTCTGGAATTACTTAAATATGGTACTGTTGCGAGTGAATTGGTTATATATTCTACATAAATAATCTAGAAATTTTATCTAAAAATCAACTACTGATGCATAAAAAAAGAAAAAGTTAATCACACAATGGTTGTCCTTAAGAATATTAACCTGGGATTATTTCTGATCCTATCAAGGTTATTCAACTGCTGCCTGAAGGAGAATTCCTTTCCATGCCTGTGGAAGGGGTCAAGCAGATGCTTGGTTTTCAAGAACATGGATGAGCAATCATCCACCCATCAGTAAGCTTTTTTAGTTAATATTCAAGGTCATCATGTACTGAGATAGGTAGAATCTCTTGTGCAACAAGCAATATGGGTTTTGATTGGGCCCAATCCACATGTTTATGTCATATTACACACACAATTAGTGAGGCTCTTGACGACAAACACACCTCGAGAATTCTGAAGGCCTTTGAAAGGGTGTGGCACAGTTTTGCAACACAAGCTCTCCAATGATGGAATAAATGGAAGTGTCTTCTCAATTAAAAAATCCTTTCTAACTTTTATGCTTTGAAGGTAGTTATTAACGTCCAATCCTCAAGGCCATGGCAGTTAATGCAGGCATCCCCCAGTGGTTACTTGTTGGACCAAACAACTTTTTGATTTACATAAATGATCTACCTAAGAATATACTTGGGTCATTTGTAAACATTTATGTCAGTGATACAATATACAGGTGCACCTCTAAAACTCTTGATGCTCAGATAGTTGCATTTTTTTTATTTTTTTTTTTTTTTTTTTTTTTTTACTCTATAATTTTTGAAGGGATTTGCCTCTCTGCATCTGAGAAGAAATGAACATTTTCCTGGTTGTAGTTTAAGGTGTTTTCTAATTGAGTGTACAATTTCAAGAATATTGATAAAGATTGGTCACTTTGATCTTGTGGAACAAAGTAACATGTAAAATTTACATTTTTGGCTGTTCGAAGCAAAATACCATTTTAACTCGCTGTAAAAAAGAAAATCAGATATTGACTGGAAATGCTATCATTACACAAGAAAATGAATGGCTTCCTTAGAAAGCAGAAATACTAAATTGAAAACTGCAGTATCAAGGGAAAAAAAATGGAAACCAATACCAAACCATAAAATGCAAAACCAACAAACTCTATTGAGAAGTTCCACGGGAACAGCCTCTTCCTACAAACCATGGTTCTGTGGAACATATTCCCAATCAAAATTAACCTGTTCAAGTCTAGAGTTGACCATTATTTTCCCCTATTAAATTACCCCATAATATAACACCCTATCTCAAGTGGGACCCCATACTTTGTACAGGGTGATCTTTCTGTGTAAAAAAAAAAAAGTGAGGTTTCATATTGGCATTGAATATTGCCTGTTAAGAATGAGATATCTCTGGCTGTGGAACTGAGCTACCTTATCGTTTTAGCTTTATTTAAAAAACCAAAAAAACAGTGCAATTTGTATATCTCACACACACACACACACACACATATGTATCATTGGCCTTGAAACTTCTTCAGAACACTGTGGTTACCATCTAGCTGACTCCTCACTCATTAACGCATTGCTAGTTTGTCACTGGTATCATGATGTAGATGGTTCCACTCAACTTAGATGGCTTTTGTTTGTTCATGACCATTCATTCCTTCTGAAGGCAGGTCGACAGCTGGCACAAAAAAAAGGATTCCTTAGAATAGAATTAAGATGGGCTAAAAATGTAATTTGGTTTATATATGATTTCTTGTATACAGTAGTTTTAACCCTTCCCACTTGTTGTTATAAACAAATGACACTTGGATCCCATTTTGGAGTTTGCAGCTTGCAGTTTGTGTTAGTAGTAATTTAAATTTCTAAGTCCTGGTCATCAGAGCCAGCTCAAGGACTTGGTCAGGTCTTGGTGAACAATGTAGATTCCAGTAGTAGTAGTAGTGTAGGAACTCTCCAAATTGTCCAAACCTCTAGCTTGTCTGGAGTCCTGCGTCTGGCAGGGGTGGGGTTGACCAGGGCCTGGGTCTGTTATTTTCTACCCAGTTATTCTATTATTCTCAAAATATGGTTTTCAAAATTTGGACTTTGTCCAGCCCCCTTTTAAAAGTGGTCAGAGGAATCAAGCTATGTCTTAACTCTAACTCCCTTCATGTTTCATCTTGTACCATCACTCTACATAAGCGGTGCTAATCTCTTTCTTCCTTCTCCCAGTATCTCGGCATCTAAGGGCCAGTACACCATTCCTGTGACCAACCTAAACTTTTAGAAGTTTAAGCAAAAAAGGAATTTCAGTCATTAATCTTTCTTTATCAGCTTGTATTATGCTGGAATTTATTGATTGACCAGACCACTCAGGAATTGTTATGCCTGAGAAGGAAAAAGAAAAAAAAATATTCCCAATCTCTTTTGTGATTTTAAAAAAAAAAAAAAAAAAAAATGGTCACTCCAAAATAGTAATTCATTTTTCTCTATTCAGGAATCTGAATTAATGTCAGATATAAATTTTTTCTTGATGATTAAATTAAACAAACCCTCCAGGCTAATCTCTATCTTTGTAGGACACTTTTCCTCTGGCTTGCAGATTTAAACCAAATGGTTTTTCCTGTTTTTTTTTTTTTTTGTTTTTTTTTTTTTTACCAGAACAATCTTTGTGTTATTTCAGTCACCACCCAAGTTTCCTTATTGACAACATGTGCTTTTCTATTTGATATCTTTGAGGATACATTAATGACCTCTTCCTCATCAGTGGGAAAGAATGGATAGTCTTGGTTTTGTTCAATCTTACTAAATTCCGTCTACTTAAATTAGGGATCAATTCGCCTTCGAATTGCTCAGGAGTTCACTTACTAGTTTCAAACATGATTTTTCAATGCATTTCGTTTATAATTTTCTTCTCAATCTTTTAATCCATCTTCCTGTGAATTTCAACAATTATCATCCACTTAGTAGACTCTTTCTTTCCCTTTATGTTTGATCAACCCTCGAAGA